GCAGTCGTATATTTTAATTAATATAGTTTTTATTACAATTCTGGGTAATTTTTGTCTTAGACAGGTTCCAAGTTATATTATATTTAATTCTATGTGGCTAAGTTTAAGCGTTTTGAATATTTTTGTATATATAAATTCAGCCGGGATTTGTGTTATTATACTAGTTATGTGGATTTGAAATTTGCTTTATTATTTTGAGTGTATAACGTTTCTTAAGTTTTTTGTGTTAGGGTATTGTTTTGTTCGTCTTGTACAGTGGAGATTTAGGTTTTTGTTTTGGTACATGAAAATTTATTAGTGTCCGATTTAAACTAAGCGTAAATTTCAATATTTGGAATCTTTTCAGAATTTATGTGTAGTATATATTGAATTCTATCTTTTTGTTTATTGCATTCATTAGCTAGCTTATATTGTTGTTTGATTCTCCTGTGTCATTTTTATCTAGGGTGCCAAAGAGATATTTATTAACTGTACTTACTGCGTTTATTAAGCCTCGTTTATTTCTTTGAATAATTTGAATGCCGTTTATTTGACTGTCTAATTGTAATTTTAATTTCTTTATTTTGCGTAATTTGCCGAATACCTTTTTATAGAAACTAAATATTGTTCTATTGATGTTGAAAAGATGATTATCTAGTCAAGGTAAATCAGGCAGTCTTTGAAGATTAGATCTTCTAAAATTTTATTTATGCATCTTTCAAAAGTTGCAAAGTTGCATCTGTGAAAGTTGTTGAATTAGTTGTTGTTATTTTGTTGAGAATGCAGTTATTGCAATCGATTTAGGATCAATTTGAATTTTGAAGAACCCCTTGGCAAGATCGATGGCAGTGAAATCCATCACATAAAATAAAGAAAATCAAATTTTAAGGCGTAATTTGTTCAAAAGCAAAAAAAGAAAGAGGGAGTCCTGGTAGACCACAAACAGTACATATATTCTTGATCAGGACGAAAAGCCGAAACGATTGAGTCCTGTCCGTCTGTCTGTCTGACCGCCTGTCCGTCTGTCCGTGTTTCGGTATGTGTGAAGGCGTCGATCTCAGCATCTATAAGAGCTAGACACTTTTTGAAGGTCCGTGTATAGCACGCGAAAGTCAAGTTTGTTTCAAATATTCGATAACTATTCGCATTTAATCTATATCGAATAAAAACATTATTGAAATGCAATATATAAATTATATCTCGAACATCTTAAGAGCTAGAGCCTCCAAATTTTATATTTAGTTTTATGTATATTTTATGAAATTTTGATTTTTATTGGATTTTGTATACCGGCTCCAAATTCCCCCAAATTCTTAAAATTTAATTTTAGTTGGAACTTGGGCCATTATGTGAAGGCGTTTGTATCTCAACCAAGCCAATAGGATATGTAGATCATATGCTGAAAATTTCATTAAAATCCATTAAGTTAAACAGAAGTTATGAAACAAAACGTTTGGTCAATTTGCAAAAGCACATGTCAGCAGCGCCATTCGCACGAATTTTTCCTATTCGTTTATTCTTTTCTATTCGAAGAATCGAAATTGCGCTTGACTTGTGCTGAATTATTAGCTGCTACTTATGTTCAAATTTCCAACTGCTCGTATGCAGCTCGGTTCGGGGTTCGAGACCGGTGAGGATGAAATATTTTGTATTGTTTTATTTTTTTTTTTAAATTATGAAATGGTTGGTAGAGTTGGTGCATGTTGTGCAAATAATCCTGGTTCGAAACCTGATCTCGCAATGTCTATTTTTATTTGTTTTCTTTTTTTTTTTGAATGCTCGATTCAAACTACGTAAAATATTAAAAAACTCCAATGACTGGGATCAGGGTATCTCTTAGTCGGGCACCCCGACTATAGTTTTCTTAATAGTTTCAGGAGACTTTGACGTCATCTACATAGACGTAATATATTTTCCCAGTATGTTCTCTAAGAACATCATCAATTGCCCTTTGGAAGACGCTAGTATCTTAGACGGCAGGATATACGCCATATTTGGTGCCGCAAACGGAGAATGACGTCTTTTCGCGGTCATGTCCCGCAAGATATATTTGGTGGTACCCAGACTTTAGGTCGAGGGTAGTTAAAAACTTAGTGCTTCCCAGGTTTGCTAGAATCATGGGAATACTAGGCATTGGGTAACGGTCAGGTATGGTTTTTTAGTTTAGCTTCCTAAAGTCAATGACCAATCTCTTTTTTGTGTTACCATAGGCATCTGCGCCTTTTTTGTCGAAAACCCACTTTGCCTCTTGTAAGGTGACCTTGATGGTATGATGATGCCGTCTTTCAACAATGGCTTGACTTCGCTGTTTACGAAGTCTGTAACGCCCATTAGATTAGGGTAAGATCTGCCATATACAGGTTCGTTGTGTACCGTGCGAATCGTGGCGGAGACCGAGGTGTTAAAACGGAGGTCTTCTTCTGCTCTATAGAAGGCCTTTTTCCTTTTAAGGATCATGTTTCTAAACTCCTTTTTAATGGAGTCAAGAACAACAATGTCGTTTACATAGGTGAAATTTACGTCGGTGCATCTCTGGTATTAATTTTTTTTAGATATACACTGATATTCTAGAGAACTCTCTAGGTTCAACGTTACTCCGGCTTGCGTTAACAAGTCGAATCCTATAATGGAATCAAACGAGCTGAGAGTATTTAGAAGGAAGAATGGGGAAGTGAGCTTGAAAATGTTCATTAGGCATTTTAGCTTAATTTCAGTGGATCCGTGGATAGAATTCACCGAGAAGTGATAGGCGATCGGCTTTATGGTTTTTAGCTTTTTTACGGGCTTAACTTAATTTTTTGTCGCACCAGTGTCAATTAGAATTTTTAATCTTCTGCCAGCCAGCCGAAGTTTGATGAACGACATCCGGGAACACTCCCTAAAAAATTGACAGAGTCGTATTGTCCGTAATCGTCCTGGCTGTCGATTTCTTCAACTGCGGCCTTTGCTGCTTTTTCGTACGCTGCCCTTTTTTTCAGTATCTTTCTGAACAATATTGTTAAGACGTTGTCGTCATAGGAATCTTTGGCGGTCTGAGGAGTTTCTCCTCTTGAGGGCGTTTGATTAATTTGATTGGTACTGATTGTAATTTGTAAGCTGTCTGAACTTAAAAGATGCATCTACCTTTACGAATTGTTAAACACGCATCATTTGATGGTTGCTTACGCCTCTATGGCCAGAGCTAGTGCGAAAGTCAAGTCAGTGGTTTGTGCAGGGAATACAATAGCTCTAAGTTGTTTCCACAGACCCGAAATAAATGTGTGTAAGGCGTCGGCCCTAACCTCAGAATTGAACACATAGGCGTTTTCTTGTTCGTGTGACATTACAACAATGACTAACAAATAACTGGAGTCAGTCTTTTTTCGACCTCGTCATAGCACTGTGTGAGAGTCATATCACCTTGTCTGACCATGTCCAAGTTTTGCCTCAGTAGGCATAAAGATGTTTTGTCGGAATAGATGTAGTCTATTC